ACACAGAACCGTCACCTTAACACTGCAGGAAAGCCATGTGTGTAATCTGTAGGCAGAAATGGAAGAGTGTGAGTTCGGAGCAGCCTGGGCTATATGGCAAGAGCCTGTTTCCAAAGGAAAAGGGAACAAAGTCTTCAGCAGCAAGATCTAGGAATGACAAGGCCGCCCTTTTTCATGGATCAGAAAATAACGTCCACAGGGGTAAAATGTGGTCTCTGTCTCCACCCCTCTCCCACTCCTGGGTAGCTGATATTACTGTGGGAGGAGCTGGGCGACCCATAAAAGGGAGTGAGCGCATCACATTTTATTTGCTCACTCACAGAGGTGTGAGGAAGTGAGCACTTTACACATGCGCTCACTCAGAGGTGTGTCATACTTATCACAACTGGGAGAGGTTGTCTTGGTTGACATGCTCTGAAAACTCTCAGACTCCCATCTCAGTTCCTCCTAGGTTCTGCGGAGCCTCTCTGTCTCCTACTGAGACCAAGGAGCTCCCAGGGCTCTGGCTGTCAATCACTGCTAACACAGTATTTCTCTATGTCTGCATTGAGATGGGTTCTCATGCTATACCCCAGGCTTGCTTTGAATTCATGGCAGCCCTCCTGCCTCAGTTTCCAGAGAGATAGGATATAGATGCCTTGTAACTGGTTAAAGAAAACCCAAACTTTTAATCCCAGCACTCAAGAAGCAGAAGCAGGCAGATCTCTGAGTTCAAGGCCAACCTGCTCTAAAGAGAGTTCCAGTACAGCCAAGGCTACAGAGAAACCCTGTCTTGAAAAACACCAACCAACCAACCAACCAAACCAAAAAAAGGACTATGGTCTACAATTATTCTGAGACACAGTCTTATGTAGCCCATACTGACCTCTGACTTACTATGTGGCTGAGAATTACTTGTGAATAAAACCTTTCACAAAAATGGAGCTGAAGATTAAAATGCCTTCTAAAAGGGCTAACAATAAGTGGGGTCCCAGGACTTGGGGCAGCCAGAGACCGTGGAAGGAGGGACTGTGGCCCCCTTCAGACAACTAGTAGATCATCAGAAATGTAAATTCAGACATGTCAAGACGCCTGTGCCTGCTTCTCATGCAAGCTCCTGGCATCTCACCACCACTTCCTCCCAGAAGCAGAGGATGTCCTTCTGTGAAGAGAAGAACAAACATGGGACTTGGGGTGCTAAAGGCAAAAGGAGGGATATGGCAAGGTGGAAAAAAGGAAATCAAAGTCACGTTTGGCATGGGGAGGGGGGCTGGAGAGTTGGCTCAGTGAATAAAAGCACATGCCACACAAGTGTGAGGACCTGAGTTCAAATCCCCATGTAAAAGCTTGACATGTAGCTCAAGCACCTGTAATCACATGTAGTTCAAGCACCTGTAATCCTACCTTTCCCAGGAGATGGGATGTGGAGCCAGGAGAATCCCCCAAAACTCAAAAGCCAGCAAGTTACATACACAGAAGAAAAACAATAGAATCCTTGTCTCAAACAAGGTGGAAGAGGTGAACTGATACCCAAGGATGTCCCCTGACCTCCACGTGCATGCCACAGCACACACGCATGCACCTCCCCACAACCACATACAAGTGCACGCGCACACACGCGCGCGCGCACACACGCGCTCGCACACATACATACACACACACACGCACACGCGCACGCGCGCGCGCCATACATAATGAAGCTTGGGGTAGTAAGTGGGTCTCAGTTTTCCATTCTCATGCCCCACTCACAGAGCGCCATCCGCTGGTGAAGGATTTCTTCTGGAGAAGGATCGTCTCAGGGTTTCTATGTGTGCTCATATTGCGGGATGCCAGCTCTCAGTTTTGTGGGAGGAAATACGCTCTTTGGGAGGGGGTGTGCCCTCAGTGTAGCTTTCTTAGAGGGAGCCCTGAGAGGGACAGCAGCTTTCAGGTCCAAAGAGGGCTTCATTAGGAGAGATACTCGCCATGGATGTTGTGATGGGGGTGCCCTATGGGGCATATAGACCCTTTAGTTCACAGACTACCAGGAGAGAGGTGACATCACAGCCGTAGATGGCCACAGTGGAACCTTAAAGAGAGAAAGAGAGAGTATGTCCTTCAAATCCAAATGACCAAGGCAATTTCTGACTCTTACAGGTTTTCTGTGGGTGGGCAAGCTTCTACCCCCCTAGTCTAGCCTGGTCTACCTGTCAAGGGGCAGGGAGCAAGCACCAGGCAGGACCATAAACCGGAACTGAAAGAACATAGTCCATTATTTCTCATCAACTCTGAGTCCCAGAGAGAAAGGGGAGGGAGGGAGGGAGGGAGGGAGGGAGGGAGGAAAGGAGGAAAGGAGGAAAGGAGGGAGGAAGGAACTGGAACTGGGTTTTCTTTTCCCTCAGAGATCTGAGGACTCTTAACCGTCACAGTGGGCTTCTGTTGGTTCTTTGTCTTAAGGGACAGATTGCATGGGAGTGTGACCAATTTCTGGAAAAGTAGCTAGAGAGTCTTAAAAAAAAAATAAAGACAAGGTCTCGACACCGCCCCAAACTCACAGAGACCCACCCGCCTCTGCCCCTGCATCCTGAGTGCTGGGACTAAAGGTGTGCGCCGCACCGCCCGCCAGTCTTCATCTTTTTAAAGGTGTACAGTCTTCATCTTTTTAAAGGTGTGCGTGCGCCGCACCGCCCGCCAGTCTTCATCTGTTTGAGCCGGGGTCTCACCATACAGTCCGGGCTGGTCTCCAGTTGTCAGTCTCAGCTCAGTCATCCAAGAGCTGGATTTGCCACCACGACTGGCTTGAGTTATTTTATCTTAAAAATATTTATCTGGAAGAAGGGCAGTGGTGGGCCTTTTGTCCCAGCACCAGGGAGGCAGAGGCAGGTGGATCTCTCTGCTCTTCCAGAGGTCCTGAGTTCAATTCCCAGCAACCACATGGTGGCTCACAGCTCTCTGCAATGAGATCTGGTGCCCTCTTCTGGTCTGCAGGTGTACATGCAGACCAGAAGGGGCTCATCAGTTAAGAGCACCTACCTGCAGAGGACCTTTGGTTCCCAGCACCTGTATCAGGTGCTCAAAGCCACATCTAACTCCAGCTTCAGGGAATCTGATATCCCTTCTGGCTTCCATGGAACCCCCACAGATATACACATAAAGATCTGGGTGTGGTGGTGCACACTTTTAACCCTACACTCAGGAGGCAGAGGCAGGTGGATCTCTGTGAGTTAGAGGCCAGCCTGGGCTACATTGTGAATTCCAGCATAAACAGACCCTGTCTCAAAAAAACTAAAACAAAAAGCAAACCATAGATGCTATAAAAATTAAAAATATTTATAGCTAGTGTAGTGGTGCACACCTTTTATCCATCACGTGGAAGGCAGAGGCAGGTAGATCTTTGTGAGTTCAAGGTCAGCTGGGTTTGCATAGAGTTCCAGGACAGCTGGCTACATAGTTATACCCCATCTCAAAAAATATTTATTTATGCTGGTTATGATACTGGCTGCCTTTAATTCCAGCACTCAGGAGACAGAAGCAAGTGGGTCTCAGTGAGTTTGAGACCAGCCTGGTTTACATACTGAGTTCTAGGCCAGCCAGAATGGAGATTCTGTCTCAAAAACAAACAATCAAACAAACAAACAAACAAAGACAAAACAAACAAAGACAAAGCACCCTAAAATATCTATGCTGAGTAGTGCTAGCACACTTTTAATTCCAGCACTGGGGAGGCAGAGGCAGGTGGATCTCTGTGAGTTTGAGACCAGCCTGGACTACAGAGCGAGTTCCAGGACAGCCAGGGCTACATAGAGAAACCCTATCTGGAAAAAAATCGGGAGAGAAAGAGAGAAAGAGAGCGAGAGAGAGAGAGCGAGAGCGAGAGAGAGCGAGAGAGAGAGAGAGAGAGAGAGAGAGAGAGAGAGAGAGAGAGAGAGAGAGAGAGAGAGAGAGAGAGAGAGAGAGAGAGAGAGAGAGAGAGTGTGTGTGTTTGCAGGGGCAGGGAAATCAGGACAGTCTCCTGAGATTGGCTTTCTCCTGCCATGTTGAAACTGGGTCTCTGTGTCTCTGCTCCAGGGTTCTCCTGCCGTGCTTCATTCCTCTGGATTGTCATCTGGTGAGCTGCCAAGACATCTTCCTGACTCTGCCCCATCTCCTAGCAGCACTGGGATGGCACGTGTGAGCCACCTGATGCGGCTTTCACAGAGGTTCAGGGCATGAAGCTTGGCTGGTCAGGCTGTGCAACTAGTGCTTTTACTCCCCGGTCCAAATTCTTTTTTTAATAAAGAAACAGAGCTGGAAAGCTGGGCAGGATGTTTTGTGTCTCTAATCCTAGCACTTGAGAGGATGAGACAGGAGGATCACCATGAGCTTCAAAGACATCCTAGGTTACAATGTGAGAACCTGTCAAAAACAAACGAAATAAAAGAGGGAGAGAGAGGGAGAGAGAGAGAGAGAGAGAGAGAGAGAGAGAGAGAGAGAGAGAGAGAGAGAGAGAGAGAGAGAGAGAGAGCACTCCAGTCTACGATGACAGCTCTCACACTGAGGACCTTGTCAAGGGCTAATCCTAATCCTAAACCCTTCCTGTGTGCTAAGATGATTCTTATGAAATTGCTAGTGTGTGGCTGGTCTTGACCTTCCATGAAGAGAAGTGACAACAACATTACGTCATCCAATTCTTACTTAGGCTTTTAATTCCTGAACAAATGTAGAAATGTGGGGTGTTAAAATGCAAAGAGAAACGAAGAGCCCTCCCCTGGGCTCCTGCCCCACCCAGCTGAGTCTAGACTCTGTTCTCACCCTGCCTTCCCAGGTCAGGGTGCTGAGCAGGCAACCCAGAGGAAGGGGCTCTTTGGTCACAAAACACCTTTGGTCACACGTGGCGGCATGCACCATCAGTTGGAGTGCTGAGGACAAGACATACTCTAATTCAGTTTATCCCTAAGTGAGGTTATTTAGGGTCCTAACAGTTACCCACAAACACAAGAGTCCAGGGACCAGCAAATCTTGATCCACACACCCCCTCCCACCACAGAAGCAGGACACACTCATCATTTCCATGTTTATTTTCAGAAAGTGATGAAAACAAAAGTTACACATCCAGACACCACTCTGTCTACAATAAATAGCCTCCCTATCCCAAAGAAATAAAAAAGAAAAAAGCTTGTGTACACCAGTTCAAAGTGACCTCACTTGGTGAAATGCACACCCCAACCCCTTCCTCTGCACCATTCTCTTATCTCCTTGCAGGGGGACCCAGTCTACACAAAGTCACCTGAGTCCTGTCCCTGTTCTGGTTGGCTGGCTGTTACCCTCAGGTCAAGAGATTAACACCGTGAGAGACTAACAGTTCAAAGTTACTCCGAAGGGAAAGGGGGTACGCCTCCAGGCTTGGCCCCTCCCCTGGCCCTTCCGCCAGAAGCCTTCGTCCCTCTGGATCCAAAACGTTCTGGAGTCCATGAGTCCGTTTTCCATTCTCCACGGAACCGACGGTCAGAAGCAGCACCAGGTACGTGAGTGTAGTTCCGGCAGAGGAAGGGGCAGGGGACACTCCTGTCACATTTTCATGTGGGCCAGGAAGCAACAAGTGAACCCCAAAATCCTTCTTGCCCCTCTCCTTCCCCAACCAATCACTATGGGGGAAAGTATGGTGAGAGCTCGGGGCTTCTCGACCCGTGTCTGTTTCCTAAGATAGCTGGCGCCCTCCAACCCAGTGGGATCTTCTCAGTTGGGAAAATAGTTATAAAACTGGCCATCGGTTTCCTTATCAAAAGGAGAGGGGGCCCCAGCAGGAGAGGAGCTGTCGCCACTGGAGGGATAGGGGGATATCCGCCTTCTCTTAGACTCCCCTTCACCCAGTCCTGAGTCGCTGGGCTCCTGTCGGAGAGGGGTGACCTCAGTCCACAGCGAGGGGGATCCTTGTTCCTCCACAGATCCCAGGCCAGGGTCCATGGGCAGAGTTCGCATGGGGCGGAACCAGCCAGCTGGGCTCATCTTGGGAGGGTACTGCGGGGCCACAGGCCAGCCCGCTGTGGGTGCCAGGACTTCTTGGCCACGGTAGTAGGGCACAGTGGGCCCCGGGGCAGAGGGCAGGAATGAGGGCTTCATGCTCACTGCTCGGAACTCTGCTTCATAACTGTGTTCCCGAGGTGTCCCCAGCCAGTAAGGCTGGGAGACCATATCCTTGGGTTGACCAGGAAGGTCGGGGTAGAAACGGCTGGGAACGGGATACTGGTTGGATAGAAGAGGTGAGTAGGGGTCTCCCCCAAGCAGTTGACAATTGGGTCCCGGTGGGGAGGGAACACTGGAGTCAACAGATGCATACATGCTGAAAACAAAAACAAGCAGAAAATGAGAGAACAAGTCACAAGCATGACTCCTCCTGTCCCTCCCTCCCTGGCCTGTCTGTCCCGCCCCAAGACCTCCAAAGTAGATAGGACATGTGGACCATCTCAGAGTGACCAAAGGCCAGTTGAATCCAGTGCACTTACGACTCGAAGTTCTCCCGGAATCCTTTGGCAAAGGGATTATTGTCGATTTTCAGCTGAGTGATCTAAAGAAGGGCAATAGAGTTGCCTGAGTCTGAGGCTCAGGGACTCCAGCCCCCCCCCCACAAGAAGGCTGTGCCGCCCCCTATGCCAGGCCCTGTTGCTCCAGCCTCACCTCGGCATTCTGATAAGCAGTCACTGCAATGAACTGTGTCTCTTGGAAAGTAAAGATGTGTGTATTAGAAGCATTGCAGACGGCCTCTGGCTCTCCATCATTCACCTCCACAATGTGCAGCCGGGGCTGGTACTTATGGAGAGACTGCAGGACGATCATCTAGAGAGGGAGTGAGGTGGTGACAGGGTCATGGAAGGAACTGGAAGCTTCCTCCTGACCCCATTGTGGGTCATGATTGGACCCATTCACCCACCAGAGACTACTAGCCCTACAGTGGGACTAGAAAAAAGGCTTGAGGACATCTGGTGCCTTCACCCACCCTGCCACCATACAATTTCTCTTAAGCCTTCCATCTTTTCTTCAGGGTACCTCTTCTAGCTTCTAGCTTTCCTGATCCTACATGTTGGATCTTACATGTGAGACCAAGGTATTAGCACTAGAGGTCATATGTGCACATGTGTGCCTCTGTGTGCTTGTGTGTGTGCAAGTATAGATAGAGGCCAGGGGACAACCTTAGGCACCATCCCCTTTTTTTGGAGACAGGCTTGGAACTCACCGAGTAAGTAGGCTGGCCCTTGGGATCCACACTGTCTCTGCCTCCTTGGTGCTAAAATTACTGGTTATTGCCTGCCTTTCTCTCTCTCTCTCTCTCTCTCTCTCTCTCTCTCTCTCTCTCTCTCTCTCTCTCAACATGGATGGGTTCCAGTGACAAGACTCAGGTCCTTGTCTTTGCAAGGCAGATGATTTACCAACTGAACCCTCTCTCCAGCTCAAGGTCTTAAAAAACAAGATTGGATGCCAGGCAGTGGTGGCAAACACCTTTAATCCCAGCACCCAGGAGGCAGAGGCAGGCCGATATGTGAGTTTGAGGCGAGCCTGGTTTACAGATCGAGTTCCAGGACAGCCAGGGCTACACAGAGAAACCCTGTCTCAGGAAAAACAAAAACAAAACCAGGGCTGGGGCTGAGGAGGCTGGGCAGGCAAAGGCACTCGCTGCCAAGCTTGGCAACCTGAGTTTGATACCTGGGATCCATGTGATGGAAGAAGAGAACCAACCCCCGAAAGCTGTCCTCAGCCCTCCACAAATACAACACAGCACATGTGCACCACCACAGTAAAAGAAATAAACGCTTTCTAAACAAAACAAAAAACCCAGGATTGTTCAATGTGAGGATACTTTGTGTCCATTCCCTGGGACACTGGGACCCATCACGGTTACAAATCATGACCTAGTGAAAAAGCCCCCAGACTAAAAAAAAAAGAAAAGAAAAGAAAAAGAAAAAAGGATAAAAAAGCCCCCAGACTGGTTTGGCCTGTGCTGACCTGAGAGCCAGCCATGCCAGAGATCCAGTGTCCTCCTTCTCATTGTTTTCCCAAGGCGGGCAGGAAAGAGTTCAGAAGAAGCAAAGGGGCCGGGGCATATAGTAGCTCAATTAATAGGGTGCTTGTCTAGCATGCGCCAGTGTCTGGGTGCAACACCCAGAACCACGTAAACCAAGCATGTTGGTATATGCCTGAAATCTCAGTGCTCAGGAGCTAGTGGCAGACGGATCAGAAGTTCAAGGTCATCCTTAGCTCTGTAGGGAGGAGAGCAGACCAGAGCAGCAGAAAGGGGACTCCAACAGTATAGAGGGGGTCATGGGAAGTGTCAGAGGAGAGGGTCTCAGGTGCAGGGGCAGGGGGGCTGACAGTCCTACCTGGGTCACATTGTTGGAAGCCCCCTTGTTGTTGGTGAGCTTTAGTTTTCCAAATGAAACTTCCTGGCGCATCCAGTGGGCTCCGGTGTTGGGGGAGTCTGGGTGGACGTATAAACGGTTTCCTGTGGACAGTTAACCTTATTGCCAAGTAGCCTTTGAACAGACCCTGGAGATGTGGGATTTTTGCCTGTTCTGAGAGGAACTCGAGAAAGATGCAGAGGAGGAGACAGACAGACTGAGCCAGGGTAAATGAGGACAGAGAGTTGAGCTGAGTGTCCTCTGCTAAATTTGAGAAGGGGTGACAAGCTAAAGGAAGGTTGAGGTGGTGCATAGATACAGGACTCAACTTTGCATGTCAGGGGCACGAGCTTGAGCAATCCACCAGGGGCGTCTGGTCTGGGAGAAAAAGCATGCCCACCACTGCAAGGGGGTCGTACCTGGCATGCTGCCTTCTGCCTTCCCACACTGCACCCACTTGCCACTCTGGTACCGCCAGTGGTGCTGGTCCACCAAGACCACATCCACAAACATCCTGTAATGGCTTGTGGGCTCCAGTCCAGCCACAGTGAAAGAGAGGAATGGGAACATTCGCCTGTGGGGAACAGAGAAAGAAGCCCAGGGTCCATTAGCCCAGTGGCCAGTCACCTGTGTGCACGCGGTGTGCTGGAGCCAGCCATCACCTGTTCTCAAGAGTCAACTGCCGACTGTACCACACAGAGGCACACACAGACACACACAGACACAGAGGCACACACAGACACACACAGGCTCTCACACACACACACAGAGGCACACACAGACACACACAGACACACACAGGCTCTCACACACACACACAGAGGCACACACAGACACACACAGACACAGAGGCACACACAGACACACACAGACACACACAGACACAGAGACACACACAGACACAGAGGCACACACAGACACACAGGCTCTCTCTCTCTCTCTCACACACACAGAGGCACACACAAGTTCACAAACACACACAGAGGCACACACAGGTTCACACACACAGAGACACACACAGGTTCACACACACACACAGACACACACAGGCTCTCAAACACACACAGAGGCACACAGGCTCTCACACACACACAGAGGCACACACAGGCTCTCTCTTTCTCTCTCACACACAAACACAGAGGCACACACAATACATACAGAGGCACACACACACACAGAAGCATACACAGGCTCACACACACAGAGGCACACACAGACTCACACATACAGAGGCACATACAAAAATTACTAAAAATAAATCTTTTTTTAAAATTAAATTGTACTAGCTGGGTATGGTGGTGCTTGTCTTTAATCCCAGTACTGGAGGCAGAGGCAGGTGGATCTCTGTGAGTTTGTGGCCAGCCTGGTCTACAGAGTGAGTTCCAGGACAGTCAGGGCTACACAGAGAAACCCTGTCTTGAAAAACAAAATGAAACAAAAATTAAATTGTAAGCCGGGCGTTGGTGGCGCACGCCTTTAATCCCAGCACTCAGGAGGCAGAGGCAGGCGGATCTCTGTGAGTTCGAGACCAGCCTGGTCTACAAAGTGAGTTCCAGGACAGCCTCCAAAGCCACAGAGAAACCCTGTCTCGAAAAACCAAAAAAAAAATTTAAATTGTAAAAACTTAACAATTAAATACATTCTACTAGAAGTTAAGGTGTTCGCCACTCAAGAGTCTCTTTCCATTGTTTCCCTTTGCTGGGCTGTGGTCTGAGCTTGAGCTTATTTGTGTCTGTTGTGTGAGGTGTGTGAGGTGGTTGGTTGTGTGAGGTGGTTGGTTGTGTGAGGTGTGTGAGGTGTGTGAGGTGTGTGAGGTGTGTGAGGTGTGTGAGGTGGTTGGTTGTGTGAGGTGTGTGAGGTGTGTGAGGTGTGTGAGGTGGTTGGTTGTGTGAGGTGTGTGAGGTGTGTGAGGTGTGTGAGGTGTGTGAGGTGGTTGGTTGTGTGAGGTGTGTGAGGTGGTTGGTTGTGTGAGGTGTGTGAGGTGTGTGAGGTGTGTGAGGTGTGTGAGGTGGTTGGTGGAGACGCTGACCACGGCTGTAGGGCATCATCCCCAGCTCTGTGTTCATCCCCATCACGTCGGTAGCTTACAGTGAGCACTTTCACACCATGGGAATCAGCAGACACTATAAATCAGTGCCTACTGACGATTTCGCTGCGTGCCTGGCGAGCACTCTACCACCGGGCTGCATCCCGGCCTGTAGACTTTTGAATATGCTTTCCTCTCAAGAGATCAGTTATGAGATATTTATCTGGAAACCACTGTCTCTAACATTAGTGTGTGCTTCCTGTCCTGTGTGGGCCAAAGGCACCAGCCAACTCTCCAAAGGCAGAAGAGTTACACCTCAGTGCCACTTCTCCACCGTGACCCTCCCAGTCTGTGCAGGACACTGCTGCTGTGCTCACTGACTGGCCCTCCCTGCCCCACACATCTACAGAATGGCCTGCCCCACGCCAACACCCTAGGTGTTCTAAGGCTCCAGTTGTTCTTATGCTTAAAGTCTTGGGTCCCAGGAAAAGACAAGCTAGTGGGTGGATACTGCGTTCTCCTCCATCGTTCTAGAGTCAGGAAAGGAAGCCTTCTCTTGCAATGGCCTCCCCACCACTTCCACCATCACGGCCCCTATTATCACGATCATTACAACCACCACCTCCACTATCACAACCACCATCACTCTCACCGTATCTCCACCATCACGCTGACACCGTCTTCACCATTACAGCCTCAGCATCGCTATAGCCACCACTTCCACAGCCATCATCACTGCCATCACCTCTCCATGATAACAGCCTCTGTCTCTCCAACAATCTCCACCACTACAGCCACCACCCCACAGCCACCACCCTACAGACACCACCCACCATCACTGCAGACACCATCATCACTGCAAACACCATCACTACAGACACCATCACTACAGACCCCACCATCACTACAGACACCATCACTACAGACACCATCACTACAGACACCATCACTACAGACACCATCACTACAGACCCCACCATCACTACAGACACCATCACTGCAGACACTAACCCCACCATCACTGTAGCCGCCATCTCTAGAATCTTAACACATCCAATAATACCATCATATCTCCTATGTCTCAAACCACACCTCCATCAAAGCCACCATTTCCACCCACTCTGTACTGTTGGAGTCTCCTCTGCTCTCCCCTCCTCCCTACATAGCCAAGGATGGATAACCTTGAACTCCTGATCCTTCTACTACTGGCTGCACCATAGCCACCACCACCTCCGCCATCACTGTGTCCACCACACCGGTTATATCCATCATAGCCGTAGCCAGTGCCTCCACGCCTACTATCACAACAGCCGCCACTTTCATCATCACCATCACCACCCGATCCCCAGTCACTACCACCACCATCTCTTCCATCCACGTTAACAGCAGCCTTCACTGCCACAACCACCACCACCAGTTCCAATAACTGAGCTCCCATGTGCCAGCAGGGAGAGTGAGGGTGTCAGAACAGCAGAGGCAAATCCTCATTGGATGTCCCTTTCACACCCACATCCTTCCTCCCAGGCGGCCACGTAGGACAGGAAAGCACTGGTCTCTCAATCAAGAAACCTATAGACTAGCCTCGAACTCACATTACAACTATGGATGACTTTGAACTTCTGGTCTACCTGCTTCAACTTCCAAAGTGCTGGAATTACAAGCTGTGCACCATTATACCCAATTTGTGTAGTGCTAGGGATCCATCCAAAACAATGAATTCTAGACAAGAATTCTACCGACTTAGCTGCATTCCCAGCCCAAGAAGTAAGTATTGAAAAACTAAAGTGTGGAGAATATTTTCAATCCATTTCTCTCACCAATGCATTGTAAGGCCACTCAAATCATAGTTTCTAGCTGGAGAGACGGCTCCGCGTGGTTAAGAGCACTCACTGCTCTTCCAGAGGGTGCAGATCCAGTTCCCAGAACCACATCAGGCAGCTCACAAGTAAGTGTCTGCCACTCTGGTCCCAGGGCACCCAACAGTGCCTGGCCTACATGCTTACGGCACATAAACTCACAAAAGCACACATACACATAAAGGCAAATGAGTTCCAGGCCAGCCTGGCCTACAGAGCGAGTTCTAGGACAACACAGAGAAACCATCTCAAAAAACAAAATGAATGACAACTGGTGGTGGCGCACGCCTTTAATCCCAGCGCTCAGAAGGCAGAGGCAGGAGGATCTCTGTGAGTTCAAGACCAGCCTGGTCTACAGAGCGAGTTCCAGAACAGCCTCCAAAGCCACAGAAGAAACCCTGCCTCGAAACGCCCCTCCAAAAAAAGAAAAATTGGTTAATCAAAAAATAGGGAGCAGGGTGTGGTGGTGCATGTCTTCATTTTATTTTTTGTAACAGGTTTCACTATGTAGCTCTGACTGCCCTGGAACTGACTATGTAGACCTGGGCTGGCTTCAGACTTACAAAGATCCACCTGCGGTGCCTGGCTTGGCACTTGATTTTAATCTCAGCACCTGGAAGGCAAAAGCAAGTGCAGCTCTGTGAGTCTGGCCAGGCTGTCTACAGAACGAGTTCTAGGACAGCTAGATCCACATAATGGAGAGACTCTGTCTTAAAAGAGGGAGGGGGCTGGAGAGATGGCTCATCAGGTAAGAAACACTAGGTGCTTTTCTAGAAAACCTGGGTTTAATTCTCAGTGTCCACGTGATGGCCCACAACCACCGGTAAGACCAGTTCCAGGGGATCCAATACTCTTTGGTTAGCTTCAGCAGGCACTACGTATGCACGTGGTGCACATTCATACATGCTGACATAGCGTCCATACACATGAAATGTATATGCCAGGCTTGGGTGGTGCACAACTTTAATCCTAGCACTTGGGAGGCAGAGGCAGGTAGATCTTACAGAGTGAGTTCTAGGACAGCCAGGACCACACAGAGAAATCCTGTCTCGATAAACCAAAATAACTAATATAGTTCATGTGAGAACCAAAATGAAGTTCTCATTCAAACTTCCTATTCTAAAGGAATAGAAAAAAAACACCTTTTTTGGTAGTGCTAAGTATAGAACCTGGGGCCTTGTGCATGGTAGGCAAATAAATGCCCTACCACTAAGCCATATCCCCAGCCTCAGAGCATGGTTGTCAATCCTCTATTTATACACTAGCCAGTTCATCAAGCCAGCTCTTTGACATATAAAATGTTCCTCAAAACTTTATACTCAAAGACACTGAGGCTTATAAATAGATGTTGATGACAGTCCCATGCTGTGGTCTCTGTCCCTCTGTGCTACTATTAGTGGGTGACAAGAAACACAGGAAGATTGTGAGATTGTGAGATGGGAGGTCTTAGTTCCACTTAAAGAGGTGGTAAGATGCTGTGCATGAAGACTCTGAATTCTCAATACCCAAGGAAGCGGATGAGGGGAGGAGGGGGAGGAGGGGGAAGAGGGGGAGGAGCAACAGCCTGATGTGGTGTTGCATCCCTATAATCCCAGAACTGGGGAGGCAGAGACATTTAGATTCTTGGGGTTTGCCAGCCAGCCTAGCCTATCCAGTGAACTCTAGCCTAGTGAGAGACCCTATCTCCAAAAA